GGGGGGGGCTGGGGGGGTCAAGCACTGGTGTCACTTTTACCTCTTGTGCACTTTACTTGGAACTTGCTGCTACTAAGTATTGTACCCCAAACACAATTTCGTTGCCTTTTTTTGACAATGACAATAAATTCTTGAAATTGAAATTGAAAATTGATTGAGGTACAGATAATTATCTTACATGTTCTTCCAAATTATAACTCTGTCCACCTGGGTTTAGGAAGGTAACCAACTTGGACGGAATGGGTTCCCAACTGGAGACATATGGAGTTAATGTGTTTGCAAATCACAAAGAGCACAAGAAACAAGAGCTTGAATTCACCCAGGCAGGTAAATAAGAACTAAACTCATCTTGGAGTGGGCCTCTTTCTGAGAATGTGTGCCATTTATTCATCGAGTGAACTCATCTATTTGTAATCTTCTGACCTGTGTTGCCGACTAAGCTATAAATCTACAGCTACACCTAGAATCTACAGGTCCCGTAAAAGACTTGATCCTGCTGCCCTATTAGACATTTTATGCTCTTATTACTCAAATAAACAGGTCTTACAAATGATTCTTACAATAATATAAACTTGTCCAAAGTCTTTAAAGTAAGAAAAGTCTTACTTTGTGTCAAAATACCCTGTGTTCTGTCTTCTGCTTTGTGCTTACGAATAAGGGAGTGATTATTTCAGTCTCTTACTATGTCCAGAAAAAACATATCCTTGACCAATATCCTGTAACCATGGTGATAGGAAGTGCTCTCCAGTCACATTAGGGAAGTGCAGTGTTTCCTGCTTTTTTCATGGGCTTCCTCTCCATTGGGGTGTACTCTAGCTTTGGCATTTGGTCCTGGAAATCTACAGAGTTCCTCACTCAAGCTTAATCTTGCTTTATATTGTAGCCTACTTATTTTTACCCTATCAGGACATTTGTTTTTTTTTTAATAAGTGTATATACAACGCTGCCACTCTTATGGATAACGTAAGTATGAAATTTCTAATAAAATCCTAGCCAAGCATTCACATAGTTGCAATTTTGAGGTTTTTCTTTATGAAAGGCATTTTTGTGAGCTTTAAGTTTTTCTTAACTGTCATGTAGGGGGGTTCTTGAGGGAGGACTCAGGTGCGGAGATGAGGGAAACAAGGTTTATTGTAACAAAAAACCCATGAGAGAATGTCCAGACAAAGTACAAATCAAAGCTGTGGAAAACTGTGAGCAAAGTAACAAAGCAATAAGCAAACAAGACTGAGGCAAAACTATGACTGTGACAAAGTAACAAATGACAAAACTATGGCAAAACTGTGACTATGACTGTGGCAAAAACTGTGACAAAAACAAACCTGGCGTGGGGGTGACAAAGGACGTGACGGACAAGAGACGAAAACGCACTCGCGCCAGACAAGGGGAAACAGGACTATTTAAACACAAGAGGGAGGGAACCCCAGGTGTACACAATGGGTAATCATGACATGACGAGACACCAGACGTGACATTAACTACCAAATGTTTAGTTGAACTTTTCTTTAACTTTATATTTGGAAAGAATAAGTCTTTTTGTTTAATTAAACATCTGATTCAATGCACTTCTATAATGACAATGCCAGAAATCAGTTGAAAGGTAACAAACTGAGTTTTCTAGCTCCATGAGTTTTCGAGAATAATCAGTTATGCACCAACCAAGGTAATAAAAGACAAAACCCAGCTTTGTCTCACTTAAAAACTGTAGTATCACAGCATTGCAGTGTAAATCTCTTTTTTTCAGCCATGTTAAAAAAAAAGAAAAGAAAAACACTGACAATCAGTGTAACCATCCGCTCACCCAAAAAGACAGCTAGGGTAGCCTATAGGTTTGGGTGGGATACTGACAACATATCTCAAATAAAGTAGGGAACCAAACTGTATATCTGACAAATGTGAAAAAAAGTTTTAAAGATTGAAAATGTTCAAAGGCATTACATCTAGAGTAACAACAATGTCATATCATGACAGGAAGCATGACCAGAGTAGTGTCATTATGGAAAACTTTCTATTATTTGTGAACATAGTTATATAATCTTTCAAAATAATTTGTTGCAAGAATAACAGCACAATGGAAAATACAAACCTAACACTGGAATACCTGGCTGATTCTCTATTCTATTGGGGTTGGATTTAAGAACACCATAAGAAAACCTAAGTGTAAGCCCTATACAGCCATTTATTGTCATATATTATATATTATATTGTAACCAGTAACAAGCCATCAGTTATATCAAGCAACCATGAAGCAAAACATTGTTATGCTGTGCTGGAAATCAAAGCTATGGCCTCTGGGCACTTTGGGGAGTTTCAGATTTGGGAATGTGCAATGCTAGGTGGGATTACCGTCAGTGTCAGTGAAAAAAGTGCTCTATCAAATGTTTGAGCAGGATGTTGGAAGTTTAATGAAGAACAGCTGATAGAAGGCGTCTCTACTGATATGCAGTGTTTGATATGCCTATCTAAAAAAATAAATCAATCAATTAAACGATAGTATAGCATTGTCAATAAACCGGCATCTTGATATTGCCATTGCAACAGGATTAGTTTAGTTTAGTTTAGTTTTATTAGGATCCCCATTAGCTGCCAAATAAATGGCCACTAGTCTTCCTGGGGTCCTCACATGAAGAAATTATATTACATTATAAACAGATCATAAAAAATAAAAATTAAAATCACAGTAGTAAATAATAAAAACATAAACAAGAGTAGACTATACAACATATACACACAGGTCAGTTCATGTTATCATTTGCAGTAGTTCTGAAGACACAATATTTTTGAAGCTTGTTCTGTTCTTAACTGTTCGTGTGGTTATTGGCAGTTGGTTCCAGTGAAATATGGCTCTATAATGGACTGTGGATTTTAGAGAGTTTGTTCTGGGTCGAGGGAGTTTAAAGTCTCCACCTCGTGCCCGCCTTGTTAAGTAATTATGATTTTGTTCAACAAGGACTAAGTGTTCAGCAAAAAATGAGGGCAGTTTTTTAAAGAAAACATTCCATATAAATAAGAGAAGTCTTAATTTAAGTTTATAAGTTACTGTTAACCATGAAAGTTGTCTATGCATTGAAGCCACATTTGTTCTCTGTGAGCACTGAAGAACCACTCTAGCCGCCCTGTTTTGTGCCAGCTGAAGCTTGTGAAGCTCACTCTGTGAAGCAGATGACCATATATCCGGGCAGTACTCCAGATAACTCAGGACCAGAGACTGTACAACCTGTTTAGCAATAGCAGCGGGTATGAATGACACACATTTCTTCGCCATCGTAATGCCTTTAGCCATTTTAGCCACAATACCATCTATATGAGCAGCCCAAGACAATGTGAGTCTAAGATGACTCCCAATAATTTAGTTTGCTTTACTTGCTTCAGTTGCAGCCCGTTGACTAACAAACATAGTGAGGTTTCATTTTTTAATTTATGATTACTTCAAAAAGTGATAGATGTTGTTTTTTCTATATTTAATTCCAATTTATTTTCTTTAACCCACCTGCTCACTTTTTCTAAATCATAATTAAGTAAGTTTGACACACGGTCAGATGTTTCTGCTACACAATACAATGTGGAGTCATCTGCATACATAACTATATTTGTATTCTCCAGTATGCAGGGCAGATCATTTGTAAAAATAGAGTACAAGAGTGGAGAAAGGCAGCTTCCTTGTGGTAATCCGGATTCAGGTGAATATATCAGTGAAATACTGACTAAAAATATATCTGAAATTAAACCTGGGTTGAAAACTTCACTGAAATTAAACTGGTATTTTCTAACATTCCCCAGAGGCCATATAAGACATTTGTGCTTTTATTTTATTTAAAAAACTAAACAAACATGACAGACATTTCCCTTGCCTATAGAAAATGTTAATTAACCAAAAAATCATATTTTACAGAGTTTCTACAAATTGCCTCCCACAGACTTCTTGGCAAACTTCTGCGAACAGATGGAGTGATCATTTACATCAGGCATCACCAAGCACCATCACTCACATTCACTGATCAACTCTGGTGATGAAGCTTGGTTATCAGGTCACCAGCTGTCCTGCTCCACAAATTCCCTTAAAGGAGGAGGCAACTTTTCTCAGAGGTTAAAGCCCAGTCATTCTGGAAAATATCCATTCCAGTCTTGGCCACGGCCTTCATCAGTCCTAAGCGAGGAATGGAAGAACCCCTCCAGTCACAGACACCACAGCCTCCTGAGAGCTGTAGCTCCCCTGGACTTGCCGGAAAACCATGTTGGAATTTGGATTTTAAGGTGGCAGTGCTTCTCGTAACTCTGGCAGGAGCTGTGATCCTCCTGCTGCTGTACAAACTATTACAGATGTGGCACAGGTTTGTACTGCAGCGTTACCAACCTCGTCTCTATTCCATGAAATTAAGTAACACAACCAGTTTCCCAGTCTTTTAAACTCTTAACTATTTTAACAGCCATGACTAAATGGAACAAAGGAATCACTTTCAAATGTTACGATAGACACATGAAGAAAACGTTAGATTTTTTTTTGTATCAAACCAAGCTAATCAGTTAGGTCAGTTGAAAAATTAAAAAAATACCAAATCAAGACATATTATACCATGAGCTATTTTAGAAAACCTGAGCGAAAATACAGAAGCACCAACATTGTTTTAACACATAGTTTTCTGAGTAAAAGTGGAGAATATACATTATGGAGTGACCTGAGAGAAAGATTTGTTGTTCATAAAGTCATGTAAAAAAAAATTTGGAGTTCATTATTCTACAGAAAATAAATATCCTTAATTAATATCCTTAAGTGAAAAACATATAGGCCAGCTGACAGTCTTCCCAGAAGACAGGTCAGTCATTTATCTACCATGACAAATGTGAAGACAGCTGTCTGAGATGTAACAGGATAATGATCCTAGAAATTGCACCAAATCTAAAACAGAATGTCTTAAAAATATAGGACTGATCCTTCTTACCACCTTCAGAGATTGTCCATCTGGTTCTCAAGTTAAAATTCCTAAAATCTGGTTTTCATTTAATGCAGTTATCGTTTCAAGAACTAGTTCCATTTGTTATCATAAAATATTTATCGATTCCTCCCTGTAATTAGTAAGGTTCACTTTTAACCTTTGAGAACCCAAACCCATATTTACTTAAAGGAAAAATAACGGCAAATAGAGAGTTTTAAATCAAATTGGTTAAAAACTACAATCGTCATGTTCCATAGGTTACCTGGGCCATTTTTACTAAATATGTTAAGTTTAAATTGTTTGTTAGACCTGTATTACCCTAGGTGCTTCTGGGTTGATATATACAAGATTTTTCTTTTCAGATGTATCCTGCCTCTCACTCTATGTGAGTGTAGGCTCCAGCCCCCAATGCTCCAACAAGGAATAAGCAGTAGGATGCATGGATGGATTTGTCCAATAAACATTAGACATAGCATTTAAATGGTGGCTGAAAGTTTATTAAAAAAATGTAAATAAATGATGGACAACTAATGATTTTGTTTATCTACAGTCTTTTTCCATGCTATCTAAAACTTTGTTATGCTTTTGATACAAAAACTCATTTGCAAATTTTTTCTTTTCAATTTCTGGTTTGCAGGCTAAAGCTGGCCAGGGCAATACATGCTTTGGAGTACAACAGCTTTTACCACAGTGCCACGTATACTCTTCCACAGCTTACTCCTTGTCAGGACATTACAATCAAGAATGGGACCATCCCAGAGGATATTTCTCCAATCCAAACCATAACTGCAGTGACTCCTCCTGTTGTCACCCCAGCACTGCCAGCAACTTTAACTGTAAATCCAATTACCCTTCCACTACCTCCATCTCCGTCTTTTCATCCCCAGCATTCCTGCCCTTCAACACCTCGTGTACTGTCTCTCCCTATTCCCCTGCCTGTGATCCACACCAGCCCTAACTTGTCATGGGGTGCCTGCTCGGATGCAGACGTTTACTCTCGAATTGGAGCCTTTAGGCCCTCAAGGGTGCCAAGCCTCTCTGGCCAATCGACCGTCATACTGTTTGAACACTCATCTCTCTGAACTCCAGCAGAAGCCGTGACGGTCAGTTCTACTGATGATCAAACAGATTGTTTTTGTGGTTGCTTTAATCAATTATGCTAAAGTACTTTATGCTTTATCGTGTGTAGTAAGGGAATAACATTTTGAACATCCTGCTTGATTAAATGTAATACTAAGGATGCTACATGACTCATACAAAACTGAGGTGGTGAGTGATTGGTCCATGGTCGAATTTGGCATGGGAAGCAGACTAGTTAGTCAAAGTACAGAAAAAGATAACAAAAAGTCAGTTAATTATGTCATAAAATCACATTGCCAGCATGTTTCCATGAGAAAAGTTAAAGCATACCTCACAGAATTGTATTGAACATTTTTTTGCATCAACGAAAAATAGATAAGAAAACAGAGACAACTTTGAGGACAGAGAGGGAGACTATCCATCCATTGTTTGTACTGCTTATTTCTAGTATAGTGTCACAGGGGGACTTGAGCTAATCCCAGCTGTCATCATAAATAGGGTCCATCCAGGAAAGGTGGCCAGGGAAGCATAATACTAAAATAAAAATGTAAAGATATCTCAAACACAAAACCAAACAATGGTTTAATTTGTTTCCCCATTTTTCTTGAATATCAGATAAGAAGGTAGAAACGGTAAAGAAATTTCCCGTCTGCTAAATGCATGAATCAACATAAACAAACACATTTCTGAGTAAAAAAATGGTCCAATTTCTTTGGATTCTTCTCCCAAAAACCCAAATTCAACTAACCCTAATTGACTCATTGAATGTTTTCAAAATCGTGCAGTAACTATTTCAGCTCTGAATAATATCAAATACCTCCACAACACAACAACCTTCATGTTCATTTAAGCTCAGTATCTATGGAGCTAAACAATGACAGCTGACATTAAATCCGCAAAAAATCTTAACCTGTAAGTACAAACATTGTAAATTCACTGTTGATACCTTATTGATACCTTATTTTAATATGTTGTTTTTTTTCTTTCAGTGTATTGAATGATTTAAGTATTCAAGTTTCAATTCTCTGTTACTGTTCTGGCATTGAGGAGTGTGTCTTTGGGTGTGGGCACGGAAAGATCATAAAGGAGCTTTATGGTTGCTCCAACCTCTGATGGAATTCTTAAATCCTTTTGTATCTGGACTGGTCGTTTATTAAGTTTTGAATAAGATAAAAATTACTGTATGGTGTTTAGAAAAGGTTTAGAAGACTGAAACCTTATTTGAACCATGACTCCATAAAGTTGTGAGGCAGCAGCTTGATCTGCAAAACGCATAAGCACAATCATTAACAATAATAATCATAATAGGGTGGTGTGGTGGTTAGCACCGTCACTTCAGAGCAAGAAGGTTCAGGACCTTTCCGTGTGGAGTTTGCATGTTCTCCCTGTGTCTATGTGGGTTCTCTCCAGGTTTTCTGGCTTCCTCCCACAGTCCAGAAACTTGCATGTTAGGTTGATTGGACATTCCAAATTGCCCTTAGGAGTGAATGTGAGTGTGCGTGGTTGTTTGTCCTTTATCTTGTGTGGGGCCCTGCGATGGACTGGCGGACTGTCCAGGATGTACCCCACCTCTCACCCTTTGACCACTGGGATAGGCTCCAGTTCTCCCCGCTACCCCATTAGGGAATAAAAGTTAACGATAATGGATGGATGGATGTATTTTCAGCTTTAACAAAACAATTTTCAGATTCAATTTTACAATACGGTAAGAAGTCTGGACACATCTGAATCTTATTGGCCAGTACCCTCTGACATGATCAGGCCAGTCCCAAATCCATGCAGATTCCACTGAGATGTGATAAGAAAGGTTGAGTGTTGTCCTTGTTGTCCGTGAACACAGTAATGTCTTATTAAAAGAAAAAGCATTTGGAAATACAACTATAGACATAACAAGAGTTCCGTGGCTCAGCATGATTCTTAAAATGGACAAATTTAAAAACCATCAGTAAATTAGATGATACCGTGTACTATATCTAGTAATAAAGTAAAACAAAGTAAAACTCTAAATATTCTAATCCTGTCACGAAGGTGTCCTGGTTGAGGGGTTTTTGTCTCCTCTTTTTCTAGTCTCGTCATTTCCTGTTTTATTTTGAAGAATAACCCTCATCTCGTTTCAGGTCACTTGCACTTCCTGTTGTGTCACCAGTCTGAGCGTCTCCCTGATTACCTATTGTGTGCACCTGGGCATCCCTTCCCTCTCGTGGTCAAATAGTCCTCGTCTCCCCTTGTCCCGTGCCAGTGTGTTTCGTTCCCAACCACAGAGCCTGTCTTGTCCATAGTTCCCTCGTCATAGAAACCGTCATAGTTCCCGTTCCTTGCCTTTTGAGCCCCCTTCGTTTTTGCCTCTTTAATGAGTGCCTTTCTGTTCCTCCTAGACGTCATATTCCTAGTGAGTATTTTGTTGTTACTTTGTTCCCGTCTTGCTTCCTTTTGAGAGATTTACTTTGTTACTTTTGCAGCTTTGTTTTGTAACTTTTCCACAGCCTCGGTTCGAGAGCCATTTCTGTTTGTACTTTGTCCTCCGTTTCTGGAGCGATTTATGTTTGTTTTTGTCCACTCCTTTTGAGTGCGCTTTTGTTAATAAACTTTGGATTTTTTAATCAACTCTGCTCCTGAGTCCTCGTGAGTCCACGGCCGTGTCAAATCCTAACACTACAGTGGTGACAGTGTAGGGCAGTAAAGGCCGTAGGAAGGCACAATGTAAGTGGTTTCCTTAGGAGATGCTCTCTGGAAAGCTAGGTCTTTAAGAATTTCTTCAAGGTACACTGTTTAGACAATTGACTTATTGATTAATTGATTGATTGATTAACATGCTGGAGAACAATGCAAGGTAAAGTATGACATAAAACCATCCAAGAAAGATAAGTTGACAAAAACTAATCTACTCTTGATTTAACAAGACCAGGCAGTAAGTTTATATTAAAAGTAAAAAAAAAAAAAAAAAAAAACATTTTTTTATTTCTTGTTGGATCTTCAGTTAGTATGGCTGATGGTTTATGGGTCTCATCCAACACAACAGTGTTAATGCAAATGAAACAGATTTACATTTTGGAAATTAACTTTTTTTTCAATGAACTAGTCCAGAAGCAAAACAATTTTACAATACAAATTTACATTCCACAAAACAAATCAAGTCCTAAAACAATTTTATAAAGCTTGAGACAAAATCGTAAGTGTACTTATATAGCGATTATCCACTCAAAGCGCTTTACACTACGTGTCATTCACCATTCACATAACAATGGCTCCGCCAGTGGGCACACCAGATGCAACCAGTAGGCAACTTGGAGTTCAGAGCCTTGACCAAGGACCCTTCGACATGTGGTCTGGAAGAACATTGACCCTCCAATCAGTCAGCAACTGCTCTTTCCTCCTGAGCCATAGCTGCCCTAAATTTACATTTTAGACCAATATTGTATCTGTTCCTTGTTTCTTCCATTTGTATCCATATTTGTTTTTCTGGTATGGTCATCTGCTCCACTCAATTCTCCCGTGTTGTCTCCGCTACTCATTTAATAATAACCCTCATTTGGACCTAACCATTCTGGACTCCGCACTGTTTCTCAGATGCTTTGGCATTTATTATAAGGAGTCACGGTATGTTTTCATTGTCCATTTGCACCACTAACCAAACAGTTTCTTCCTGGCTCCTTTTTCCTCGGCTCACGTTTTCACAATATAGTAAGTCAGTAAATCAATAGGATTTTGGTTTCTGAAAGTTTGAGATAAAAAATGTATCAATTTAATCCCTGTGTGCTGCTTAAACTGATATGCTCACCACCGTGTTATTATCTCTAGAAATACTTACAATTCAGTCCCATTATGGCTGCCAGTCTTGTTGAAGTGTTTAGCACCACCTCACAGCAGTGTTTGTCATTCAAATCCTGGTAGCGGGGCTTTCTGTGTGGAATTGCATATTCTTGTTATGTATTTGGGTACTCCAAATTCCAAATTGAATTCAAGATTGAATGACATGACCCCTAACTTCAAATTGTGGGTGCAGAAAATGTATGGATTTTCTCAGTGTGCTAGTTACCAGCTTAGGCTTCTCTTATGTTTACAAATGAAAAGCTGTTTCACCCAAAGCCAATGAAAGATTGTACTATTTAGTTACCAGCACTTATTGCTACTTATCTATTGTTGGCTTGGTTAGTTAGTTATTGCTTCTGGAACTCAAAGTAACCTTTTCCACAAGTTAAGTAATATTAATTAATATTAAGGAAACTGGACCGGTTTAATTAGTGAGTATTCTCGAGCCTGATTTCTATCTACCTTGCATTTGGATTCGTCATTGTGACTAACAGCTACTTTTGGTTTTGACACAATAGGATGTGCAAAATGAGATGCAAAAAGACAAAGATTACAGAAGCTTGAAATGGCCAAAGAAATTGAAAAGAAAAACACTCTAAAAGTGGTCAAATGGCCACAACAAGCCAAAATACATATGATACGTATATATATAAATACATATTATACAAGCAAAGTACGTATACATATGTATAAATCTTGTAGATAAGAGAAGGAACACCTGCAGAACATATCAAACAGCAAGACAACAAACAAACCTCTGTTTGATACTCCTCCTAAATTTGTAACTGGAAAAGCAAATTAAGTGACAGCATCGACACCAGCTGCAGGCTGACACGGGTCAGGACCCCTGGGCATGATGGGGAAGTACATCTGGAAAGCACAACAGCAAAAATAACTGTTAGGAAACAAAAATGTTACTACACAAAATAAAATTACAGATTCTTTGTTTAACATGTCCATTTTAAGTTAAACATTGCACTGTTTTTCAGTGTTTGTGCTTTCGGTACACCAGCACCAAACCAACTACCTAAAAGACATTTCAAAGTCCTCCAGTTGAGAAGTTGATTTATCCTATTGGAAACTAGAGTGACAAAGGTGTAAAAATCGAATAAATCTAAAATACATTTATTGAAAATTAACAATGGAACTTCTAGAAATAATAGATCTTTGACATTTTGTGGTGGTACCTGAAATCTAATTTATTTTCTTGAATGTGATAAATGGGGTTCTTTTGATAAATTTTTAAAATTCCTATAATTTTTCTTTGGGAAAATGGGTCTGGACTCTTGTGAGTTATTGAAGGTACATACATAATAATGTATTTTATATTTATGAATCTTACCTACAGTGACACTGAGCTGTGAAGAATCCATCTTTAATGAAAAAAGAAGACATAAATAGTAGAATAGTACATGTACACCACATCTTTGTTCCATATAACCAATATTCAGTTATTCTATTCTATGGTGCACTTATGAGGAACGCAAGTTCCTGACCCAGTATGTGTATGTTTTGATATAAAAGTAAAAGTACACAAAAAGATTTCCAATTTTTGAGTTTCAATATAGATTTGTTATCTAAGAAGAGCAATTATTTACATATAACTTGTAGTATTTAGTAGTAAAATTAAATGAGAAAAGGAGAAGGAAGGAGCAGAAAAGGAAGACAAGGAAACGTTGGATTACAACAAATGTTTAAGAATGTTTCTTATTTATTTAAACCAGATAAACAGCATACATAGCACTATTTTACTCCTAATTGGATCTCTTCAACAGAACAGAATGGTATGTATTTTTCATAAACAAACCATAAAATATTATTTTGAAGAGCATCTCTTACTTTTGCATTTCTTGATCTGCTCTTTTTCTAAACTTCTTGAGAAGCCAAAATGTAATTCATATGACAGCAAAATGCCACTAGCAGCCCTCTAGGGAAAACATGACTGAACAGCTCTAGTGAATACAGATGAAAATCAATCCCAGCTCTTCTCCACTATAATTGTACAGGCCTGATTTCATTGCCAAGTGCACTTAGCAGCAGTCTCTATAGATGTTCAGAGACCTTGAGAATAGACAAGCATTCAAAATGAGATGGCGAAAAGTACTTTAGTGATTGTAGTGTTATGCATAAGAAGTTTCACTCCTCTTAGATGGATATTTCTTTTCCAGTGTAACCTAACCTATACTAAAAATCTTGTCACATCAAAACGAAGAATTTTTCTTGTAATTAACAATAATCACTCAGAAAGATTCATTTTCTTAGTTATTTGCACTATGACAGGTTTGATTTCAGGGGATAATATAAAAAGATTTCTTCTCTATTTATACAAATAATGTACAAAATTATGTATTTGATAAAACAAAGTATAATATAGTGATTATGGGGATCTATATTGTTGAGAATCAGCAGTTGGATTTTTCTTCTTTTCTATTTTAATGTATTTCTGGTATATTGGATTTTCCATGTTGTCATATTACTACAGTAGCCTGTAGCCTTCTATTCTGTCCCCAAAGAACTTTTAAAAACAGGTTTGTAGTTCTCTTACACTGGTCTTACGCCTCAACAGTAATGATTGAATGATTATGTAAGTAAACGCAATGAAATATATCCCTATTTATTGTTAGCAATAGCTGCCAGCTGTGACCTGCTCTTACACACTTCTGTATACCTGTGTCCCAGCAGCCCTTTGATCAGATAATTGCTCCTGGCAGTAGGTTGCTTCCCCCACATGTCGCCATAGTGACCACCTCTCCAGCATCCATTTGTGTGCTCCCTTCACATCATTTTTAAGACAGACATATATATTATGGCAAGAGAAGAGATAAAGGAAAATTACAGAAAAGTTATGCCAGCAAAACCTCCTTTACTTTAATCAAAACCCGTGTTTGTCTGTTTTTCTTTTTCTTTTTGAGGAAAATTAAATATTTTCGGACACAAGATATTGAATGATGTAAAGCAGCATTCCCGGTGGCAATTCTTATAAATTTTCCCCTTAAGTGAGATATAAAAAGATTTATTTTCCCCACTTTGTCTGTTAATAATCATATATGTAAGCTGTTCTAGTCTGTTACAGTTCTTCATTGGCAATTTCTGCATGTATATAGCAAGAAATATTGCAAAGACTTCTCTTTTTATGTAATCTATTGCAATAGGCTGATCATATTTTTTACGCATATACACCCAAAATGTAAGTACAAATATGTATTGCCTTTTAATGACACAGCCAGAAAAAAAAAATCTTAAACACCTTCAACAATGGAATAATAGCAGAAAAATACCCATGATAAACTGCTTGTTGGTGTTATGGCAATATTCCGACTGTCAGACGCAAATTTCTACCAAAACCTCAATTCATAACAAGATTAGATTTTGAATTTTCTATAGCCAAAGTTTGTGTAGTAAATTTGCAGCTGCGGTTTAGACAGCGGTGTCTCAAAGAATATATCTGTGAATTCAATTAAATCATAACGTACTTCCTTTATAAGACAGAGCATGATTGGTGAGAAACATGAAGCATAAAATAAAACGATCACAGCTTTATCTCTGCATAGGCCACAGACTTCTCTGAAGATATGAATGATGGTGATTATCAACAATATTTTTGATTGTAAGCCCTCTTAAATTTTCATCATTTTTATGTTTGTAAGTATGTTTGCTTCCCGGGCGCGTCTATTTTGACCCGGGTGCCTTCAAATCTCGATAAATTGCTCAGTCCGTGGTACAGGGAAACATGACAAAAGGTATGTCCGTCATGGCTTACAGAAATGACACTTGATTATTTTTTTGAAAGCGCTTTGAAAGTCTTTATTAAAGTACGCGTAGATGATGGGGTTCAGTAAAGAGTTGGAGTAACCCAGCCAGTTTATGACATCCTCCAGCCAGCGGGGCATGTAGCACGATTCCTGGCAAAACGGCATGACCAGGGCGACTATGAAGAATGGCAACCAGCAGAGAATAAAGGTGCCCATGATGATGCCCAGAGTCTTCACCGTTTTGCGCTCCCGTGCCATTGCGATCTTTCTTTTTGCCTCGGTTGCCTTTTCTTGCCTACTCTCGAACAGCGGCACAGAACTCAGGGTGTCGGGCAACGGCAGGTTACCTTTTGAGTTTTTGTGAACTTCGATTATCTCCAGAGATTCGCCGTCGTCCGCGTGTTTGACGGCGCCGTTGGCGCTCGGCAACGGCCGGGGTTCCACGCTTCTTTTCCAGCTCTTTCCCTGCGAGTCTCCGTGGGGCTTTTCTCGGAACAACGCAGGAGACATTGCTAAACAGGAGTCGGAAACTTTCTTTTTCTCGGTTTTACGCACAGTCCTTCTGATCCGAAAGCGGGCAGCTTTGAATATCCGTCCATATAAAACCAGCATTAGGAATAATGGGATATAAAAAGCCCCGAAAGTAGAGTAAATTGTGTACCAGGGGTCTTGCCTGATCTTACACTGCTTGGGATTCGCCCTGTCCTCTGCCATACTGTTGGGCTGGGAGCGCATGACCAACATTGGTGGCACAGAGATGGAGAACCCGACGAGCCAAGTGACACTGATAAGAATTGCAGCTCTTCTCGGCGTTCTTTTCTTCATGTATTCTATAGGTTCGGTGATTGCCCAGTATCTGTCCAAAGCGATTGCGCACAGGTGCAGGATGGACGACGTGCAGCACAACACGTCCAGAGAGATGAAGATGTCGCACGGAACCTGTCCGAGCGTCCATCGGTTTAAGACCTGGTAAAGCGCCGCCATGGGGAGAACCAGCACGGATACCATCAGGTCGGTTACGGCCAGAGACCCGATCAGGTAGTTGGCTACATTCTGGAGGGACCGCTCCAACGCGATGGCCGCAACCACGCAGGCGTTCCCAAATATTGCGCTCAGGATGAGCGCACCAAGCAGGAGAGACGCGGCCACTTGATAACTCAGTTTCACATCTTCATCTTCAGGTTTGTGGGACTTTACTGTTGAGTGTTCGAACTGGGGCCATAACGTTGTGTTGTTTTGGTCCTCCATTGTTGGTTTACTCTGCGGTTGGAGGGATTCGATTACTCCGCGGACAGCCTATACCTGCAACAGGCGTTGGCACCCTGTTGGACAAACTGGTGGACCAGTTGGTGCTTCAGAAAAGTACTGGACTGCAAATCTCGGCTGCTGACGGAGAATGATGCGTCGTATTCATAACAGTGACGGAAAATACGTAATTTGTCTGTGCGGCTATTCAGACTGTGTTAGTTGGACTGTGTCTGTTCAGTAGGCAGCTTGATTAATAACGTTTTACCAGCAACGAAAAATAGGTTTAAATAATCATATTTAAATTCTAGGATGTTGCTTGTTTTGCAGGTTAATTTTGCCAATTTTATTGCCGATTTGGGTTACAAGCGAATCTTCTTGAAATTGCGGTTTGGTTATTGAATTTTCTCTTTTCTACATTATCAGATCTCTTTGAATTGTTTAAATAATGTGTTTCATTTAAAGTTCTTATCCACGGGTTTGAGCAGAACGGTCAAAACACAAACATTAGTTGGAAGTTGGACACATCCACCAGACATTAGCCTTCTGTTAAGATTTTTCTTTTTACTTCTGTTGTATACGTTTCAATCTATAAAAAGTTTGCGGTCTTTTACTATTTTTGGTAAGCTTACAATCCCTAAGTGATTAATCTTCCACTCTTCTCTTTAAATGTCCTAACCCTATTTCTTTTTAACCTTTAGATTACTTCTTGTTCCATTTCAATGTGTTATTCAGCTAATTGTTGCACTTGTTCATATTTTTTCACTTTCTTGTGAATCGTCTTGTGCACTCATTCAGCAGATCTGTGTTCCCGCAGCTGCTTCATAGAAACAGTTCTAGCTATTGTGAGAATGCAGTCTCATTCTGGTTTTCCTGTTTTACTTCATAGTGATCCTGTTCCTCTATTTTTTGTATTCACTACATTTTTCAAAGTTTAACTCTTACTTCAACACACCTCATCTGATTTGAGGTAGTACAGTTTTAACACATGTTCACAACATTTATGCTAGGCTGTATGTCTTAGTGTTAAAATATTTTGGAATTGTTTAACTTTTTGTGAATTTTTGCTTATATTGAAATGATTGGATAATCCTTCAAATACTTTTACCTCTTTCAAAGCCTACTTCAGCATACTTTCAGCTAAATACAGCATTGAACTTTTAACCATCCTTTAGTGTTAGGGTCAGCGCCAACCCATTTTTAGATTTAACACTAGAAGAAGGTTAAAATGCTTTCAGGACATTGAACTATTATATCATATGGCTCAACTCTTTAAAACCTCCTTCCATTTTCTAAAGGTGTCACCCTAAAATCATGTGAAGTTTTAGCCATTTCTGAGTTTATTCCCATGGGATGGAATGTTAAATCCAGGTAACAACTAACAGAGTGGAGAAATGCAAACAAATTCCTCACAAACAAATATTTAATACTGCCATTATTTCCACAGTCTTTAACTTTAAAGTCTTCAAAGTCTGAAAGTACACTTTACCAATTGCCCGGCAGCAAGCAGTTGAACAAAGGAGAACAGTTGAGCTCTGAAACCTGAAGTCTGTACTGTAAAACTTGCTCTAATTTCTTTCTCAGAAATACAAATGAAATACTGTTGTAATCAGCCACGCCTAACTCTCTCAGTGGTGTAAAGACATTGGAAGCTGGAGTTACAGTTTTTGGGCAAAGCTGAAACATTTGTACCATCTCTCAGTCAGACTTACAGAATGTTAATTTCTCAGTATATATATATATATATATATATATACTAAGAAGTACAGTTTTTTTTTCAGTTTTTTAAAATAAAAATGTACAATTTGTTGCTGATTCCTAAACTATATCAAAACAGGGGTGGGGGGTGACATGATTTTTGGATGATGTTCCATCCTGAAGACTATCATTTTTGACGTCATCACAGCAATTGAAGCCAATAAAATTAGCACCACACCTTGTCCTCTTTGTTGTTATTTATTCCTCACCGACAGGTTAACCAAGCTGTCATGGTTGACAATGTTTCTTAAACTTTCATTTTCTTTAAATTGTCTCTCGACAGCAATAGAAATGGCCACGGCCACGATCTATTGCTTTCTATTTTACACACATGGATAAATTAACACAACTATTTTCTGTGCTCAGCAGTGCAAGCTCATACATGCCTATTATCTCTTTTCCACTTTTACCTACTCAGCAAGGCTCGCATTATTTTTGCATTTCTCCGAGGGTCTGCCTCTACGAAACGGTTATTATTTCAGCCGGGTTTCCTTTAGGGCTGATTTTTAAAAACGTGACCCAAACAAAGTTCAGAGTTCATTCATTTGGTGATTGTCAACAGCAGGCTTAAGGAAGGTTGGAAAACCCTGGCAAGATGGCAATGTGGGCACACGTTACTCCAAGCTCCACTTGTGCAGCCCTTATAAACTACCCTTTGAGCATCGTTTCATCCCAAAAGTAGACCCAAACATCCACGATCTAAAGGAGAGCTTCATGAAAGATGTCCGCTGTTAATGATAAAAACTTCCCTCCCCTTAAGAATCATAACAACTTTTGAAAACAGCTGAAAAAAGACAATTAAATGACTGCCTGCATTTCACAAAAATAAATAAAACATAGGTATAACAATCTTTGGAAAAGTGTTTAAATAGATGGTTCCCATTTCGCTGATGTGCTAACAACTTACCTAACTTACCTAGTAATTAATTTTAATGATGATTTGACATATATCAGCTATGGGTTAATGTTGTTGAAATGTGTGTATATATATATATATATATATATATATATATATATATATATATATATATATATAGAGAGAGAGAGAGAGAGAGAGAGAGATAGATAGATATACATATATATACAACAAAGTATCTGTCGATAACATAAAGATTTGCCGAAACTGGGTCATGACGCAAGATAATGGTAAAGAACATTTTCTTTTTCTCAATTGATTGTGCATACTCAGTCATTAAGGCTGGTGTTTATGGGTAAAATAACTCATGCTATCAGAACTGCATAACCTTCTTGGTGTTACGCTCTACAAAACCATGACTATACAACACCATCTACCATGTGTGTTTCTTAGTGTTTTAATTTAAACGGAAGATTTGATTAATCAATCTTTTTTTTTTAAACCTGTGACTGTATTACATTATTTTTCTGAAACCAAAGTAAGAAGACTTACATTTTTATCCAAAACATAAATCATCATTATGATTTTGTGCTTCATGTGGCCGTGGTTTATTCCCAGGCCCAGTGGACTGTAGTAATACCGAACTGTAAAAACATGTTGCTTTTTTTCACTCCCTTTACTGCATTTCTCACAGGTGAAGGAGCAACAGGGAGGAGAGATCAGATCAGTTCCTGTTTTTGCCCCACAGACATGTCTACTGTTGATTTATTGAGGTCTAAATTATCTTGTTCAGGTTCACTTAGTCAGCAGTTTGACACTGAAACTCAGCTTCTCCCAGAGATAAACAGTGCATCAGCAGCTGCTGCCAGCTGAGGCAGATGTGGAGTCTTTAGCAGTCAGTGCATGAGGAAGTTTCAAATTTAGTTTTTCCTCGGAGGATCGACCTTTTTACATATTCAATTGATTAAATTGTTGTTGTCATTGTGATTACCAAAGATGCATTGTCTCTACATCTTATTTGTAAGTCTGTTTAACAAAAATATTTCCCCGGTTTTCTTTTGATATATATATATTTTTCATCATAACACAGCCTAAAAAGTGAATAAGCATTGAGACCTAACATATCTCACATTTGAAGCTGAAGATGCGTCTATTTTTTTGTAGTTGCATATTTTATGACTGTCCATCCTTTCTTTGTTACCACATTAAAGAGGTGTGGTTAACACCTCAAAGTTCTAACATGGAGCACAAAATACACCTAGTGATAATGAATAAAAAATCTATCAACTTGAACGTGATTGTTTTTTATGTATAGTGTTTGGTGCAAAAGTGAAATAAGTTTGCATTTTGTTGTTTAAACTGGCTAGATGCCATACATGAGAGGAAATCATTTATACATGTAGTTTATTTTCTAAGGTTTGTTTAGTTCTGGTTGCTGGACAAATTAAAATGAGAAGTTTGAACTTACTGGGTCACATTGGGTCAGTGGAAACGTGTATGAATAAAGAGAAGAATGCCTTCCAGTTTGTCTAATAGTTGACTTATGTTTTCTTTGCTTTGATTTCTGTTAGAGACAAAAGAGAGAACAACACAGTAATACAATTGTACTCTTAAGTTTTTAATACCTTTCAGAGGATAACTTATTTTTATTGTATAACTTTTATTTATGATAACTGCAAATGAATAATGTAGTAAAAGGGAAAATTGCAGCAGGATGCGCAGAAATACCTCAATAAGACAGCCACGTCTTATTAGGATATAAAAGGAAGTTAGAACTACTACTGAAATATTTACTTTTCAAAGCATTTTTTGTTTGGGTTTACAGGGCCTACTTTGTAAACCAGGGAAAGTTCTCCATATCTCCATCATGTGAGCACATTTGTTCTCGGCACAGAAATCTCTTTCTTATTGGAAAGAGTAGATCAATGGCTGTGTATGGTGCGGTACACTGGTACACTGGGGCATGGTAGTTGGGACTATGGGCTCACAGCAGGGTTACTGGTTTAAGTCCCCGGGGGACTGCGGCCCTTCTATGTGGAGTTAGTATCTTCTCCCTTGATCTGTGTGGGTCCTCTCAGAGTACTCTGGCTTCCTCCAACCATTCAAAAAGGTAAATTGAACACTCTAAATTACCTCTAGGAGTGAGTGTGTCTTGTTGTTTGTCTCTAAGTGGCCCTGTGACCTCTCCAGGGTCTTCCCTGCCTTATGCCTTGGTCAGTTGGAAATGACCAGTACAATCTGTTGTATGTTTGAAGGTATATTTCTTTACAGGTAGTTGTCTCTATTAAAGAAAACAGACTTAAAAAACTTAAACTGT